GGAGTAGCTGTTTTGCTCTTCGGGGTCTTGCTTGCCTCTGCGGGGGCGGCTTCGGCAGTGTTTTCTTGTGCAGGCTTTTCTGGAGTGTTGCTCTTTGGTGTCTCGGTTCCCTTTGCAACTGCTGCCTGATCATCCGGGGTCTTGCCTCGCATCCTTCGGCGCTTGGCTGACCGGAGCTTTTTGTTGCTGCCCACCTTGCGTGCACTGTCGGGCTCCTGGCTGCGACCTCGTGCTGCTGCTGTCTTCGAGTTTGGTGTTGTTGCCTCCTGGTCGTTTGCCGCCACTGGGCAAACTCCAGCAGGATCATCTTTTGCACGTGCCGGCGTCTTCACCTCCTGCTTCACTGCTGGCTTTGCTTCTCCTTTTTCTGGGTCATCACCATTCTTCACATCTGCCTCCTCATAGGCAGTTCCTGCCAGCACATATATTAATTATATTGCTATAGCTAGTATAACCTGGTATACAGATCAAACACATATGTCGGGGTGTCCTTTCAGAGCTCTCTTTCGTAACTCTTCAACAGCAGCCAGAGCTTGTTCAGCAGTCACAGCTGTCTTCGGCATGTCCACACACACGGGATCTAGAAAGGGACGGAGGGCCAGGTCTAGAGATTATAATCAGGTCGTCCTATGGTCGATTGTATGTGGGATCTCAGAACCTGCTGAAGCTTGGAACCACCCAAAATGTTTCAATAGATAAGCAAAATGCTGCAGCAGGAGGTAACAGTCTGGAATCACGCTGGAGTCACGCTAGAGTCACGCTAGAGTCACGCTGCTTTAGTACTGCTGTTAAGCACAGTCACGGAAGAATCACGCTGGAGTCACGCGAGAGTCACGCTATAGTCACGCTTCCCGGGCCCTGGCCCAGATCTGCTATTTCTATTTAAAATATATGTATTCCTAGCAGTCAAAACCAATAGTTGATGCAGGTTTAGAGCCAGACCACTGAAGCCACGGAGCTGTGCATGGAGCCTTAAGAGTGCAGGCCCTCCAAATTGGAACCAATTATAACCCAGCCCAATTAGAATTACAATAATTTATTAATAATCGGTGCCGGAACCCTGCACTCTTGTACACCTAGCTAGCTACAAGCCCTCAGCCACCGGGTCATATCGACCCATAAGTTGCTCCACTCGGAGGAATTGCACAATGTCGTCCATATCTGCACGACTCCAGTCTGGTGCCGCTGCCACCTGCACAGAATTAGTTCATAAGGCCCAAATAATTAAGCCAAATCCCCCCAAACTCCACATTGGAATCATTTGAACCTCTGACTATGACAACCCAGCTCCAGGTATCGAGACTTACTGGAACCCAACCCCAACCCCCTATATAATTGTATGTACAGTAGATTATATATACTCGAACCCAACCCCATATAGCCTAATTTTATTATATAAATATATTATTATTACAAGCTAGAGCCTGCCATGTGTAGCCACGATGATGAATTCGATACTTCAATCCAAACTCAAACATTCATAAGATTCTATAACAAAAGACACATTCCTATAATTTAACTAGAGCCTGGCTTAATATAGCCAACATAAGGAAACCCAGCTTCATACGTCGATCGTCGAAGGGTGCGGTGGGGTGGGGTGGGGTGGGGTGGGTGGGGTGGGGGGTGGGGTGGGGTGGGGTGGAGCGGGGTGGGGTGGGGGGTGCAGGGTCCGCATCAGGTTTTGAAAAGTAGTCACAAGCTCTCAAACAGTGCAACCAACCCCAGCTTAAACCCGGATACATATTATATACATATATACTCATAATTTATGTAACTGAAGCCTTGTCGAACCCAACCCCACTAAGTATATCAAATATAGAATATTTATTATACATATTCATATTCATATATATATATATATATATATATCGTCTCTTTAACTAGAGCCTGGCTTTTCCCATCACTCCCAACCTGACCTGAAGTCCGGTGAGAATCCCATAGATCGAATGATATCCTCTTATATCACTCCCCAGCCTTGCGCTTCTCCAATAGAAGCTTCGGGGCAGAGTCCATTTTCTTCTGAATTGTCTTCCCATGCTGCTCCTTGGCACATAGAACGATATTTGGGCTGGGTTGGGGTCGTTTCGAAACTATTTGGCTTGGGCTTGATTAATTTAAAGACTGCTTGGGGTGTGTATATCTATATCTATATCTATATATATATATATAGATATAGATAGATAGATAGATAGTCTATAGATAGTCTATAGATAGATAGATAGATAGATAGATTGCTAGGGTCGACATGGCTTCCCAACAACTCCTTGCAATAGATAGATTTCTGGGCTGGGTTGGGGTTTCGAAGCTATTTGGTTTGGGCTTGATTAATATAAAGACTGCTTGGGGTGTTATATATATATATATTGGTATATTGCTATGGGTTCCCAACTATTCCTTGGCACATAGAAAGATTTTTGGGCTGGGCTGGGGATTCCAATGCAAGCTACTTGGCTTGGGCTTGATTGGGGTGGTTTATAGCGGGTATATATAAGTAGGATCGACATGGCTTCCCAAATAGAGACAAGAATCCACGGATTTTAAATGCAACCGCAAGATTTTCTTGCAAAACTTGCGCGGATACTCCTGGGTCTTCTTCAGTAGCCTGTCACCAGTCCTGGGCTATATTATTCAAGGAGGTGCAGTTGGTGTCACAAGCGGTGTCTTATGGACTTTAGGGGCGAGGGTCCAGTTCCAAACCAAGCAGCACAGCCACTCTGCCTCGCCTGACTTTTCGAGTAACCACCCCATCTGAGGAAAGACGGAGCCTTTCTCGGCGTGTTCTGGAGAGTGTCTTGGCCAAACGTCCAATAAAGGGCCTTGGCCGGGTGATTTGGAAGTTGAGGATGATTATAATTGTACAATATATAGTGATTGCAAGACTCACTGACATGAGGCATTGACAGGTTGCTGTAGGCTAGGGAGCCCTTGCAGCTGAAGTGTCCATAGTTGCCCATCCAACTTAGACAGCACAGCTGATCATGATACAAAGAACCATGAAGCACATTGAGAATTGCATCACACAACATGATCAGAGGGCTCGGCAAGAACACCCGGTGTAGAGGCATAATCTCACGGATCATGTCGAACACATCACGAACCAACGGCAGCAATGCCAGCTTCGAAGAAAATGGTTCTTCAATCATGAAGAAGACTCTTCTGGCTGTGAGCAAGAGAAGCAACAGGCTCACCCGTGCTGCAATCCTCAGATAACAGCAGGGATCATCATTCACACGAACCCTGCATGGTGCACCAACTGTAAATTCGAATCCAAGCAACTTGTTGCCTTTGGCGACATGTGGCAGATCTTCATTGCCATAGGGGCATATTTGTGATCTTTTTGATGTTGCTGAATTAATCCAAACAAAAGATCCACAGGGCAATCCGATTGTTGCCAAGGCCAGAGGCTTCAGCTTCAAGATGCACGGAACAGCTGATATAAAGCCAACCCTTGGGTCTGAACTAATCATGCAGTGTCAAGGGGTGTATTATCATGGCACTGCATTGCCTGCGACTTGCATCCAAGGAGCGTGCTGCAGATATCATCGTCGATTCGAACTGTGATATCCATATAGTCACTTGGTTGCAAAATACAGAAGGGGCAACCCTTCCTCGGCATAATAAATTACGAGCTAGAACAACTTTAATATAATAAGGGTTTAGGATTTAGTAACGTAGTATTGTTAGCAGGTCTTAGAGGGTTTAGGGATAATTGTTATTACTAATGAATGTTTTATAAGTATATGTGCAGATGAGAGGCCTCCTCATGCCCTCCCGACCTGACTGCAGGCAAGCATGAATACACGTACATAATTATAAATCAAGCAGCCACATGCAGCATCTGCTGCGAACAAGGCACAGTATACTCTTTGCATATTGCGAGCCCCAGCGAACATGTCGTAGTGCAGAAGGTCCTGGGTTGCAAGATGTGCATGCGGTTGACAATAAAATTCAAGCACATGTACAAGGCCGTGACCCGAAAGCTCATGTTTGGCGGAGAATTCTGGGCCACATAGTCAGCCACTTGGATCCTTGTGTATAGCTCTAGCAGGTCTCATGATCAGGCTTTAATTTTTGGTTGCATTGCAACATCGGCAGATGAAACAATCCAGATAAGCTACAATGCTTCATGGGCCCCCATCATCACCAGGAGTGCTGCCGCTGATGCCGAGAGCGACAATGGGCTGCTCTGCGGAAATCGCTCCATGGATTCGATGCAAAAGCTGGCCAGGTTTTTGGAGGGTTTCTGACAAAGGGTCTAGAATTAAATTTAGAATAGGGCATCCAGGCCTAGGGTGTAGGGTTTCTATATTATAGATACGTACAGGGTTGAAGGACTTTGTTATGCTGGCTTCCTATTTGGCTCCAGGGTTATTATGATCTCCAATGAGAAGCCTGCCAAGGCAGGGATAGTCAGGAGCACACCTGGCATACGATTCCACTACACCCAAGTAAAGCTGGACAATAGGGTTTAGGGGTTTAGGGGTTTAGGGGTTCAGGCTTTAAGGTTTAGGGTTTCGGGGTTTGGGGGTTTATAAAATTAGGGTTTATAATAGGGTTTAGGGATGGAGCTTCCCTTTGCCCCTGTCCTTGAGGGATTTAATTTGTTTTCGTTGGATTGTGCTAGATTATTATAGCACATAAAAGCTACGTATACATCCTAGACATTTAAAATAATCCGAACCTCACTCCTTGGCCCATAACAGAAGTGATTGGCATGGCAGCATGCAGGGCATACCTGAATGCATGATGATGCACACATCAGCCGACATGTCCATATTTTCCATTCTCGTTGAAAAGTCAACGGTCCCAGTCCGAATTGGGTGTACAGCTGACATGTGACCTCTTATTAATATAAGCCCACTATACATAGCTATAGCCAGACCAACAGTTACGTACATATACTCCCTTTATATATGCTAGCTAGTGCATATCCCTGCACATCCTGTACACCAGCAGCGGCTTTCCAAGGTATATGCAGCGAAACTGCATGCTCCTGTGGCCTACTTCTTCGTGGGCTTCGGAAGAGGCCAGTATGGCTTCAGCCAGCCTGCCACTTTCTTGGCAAGTCTATACCTGCAAATCGGTGATCAGCATCTCATCCAACACAGGGCATAATAAGGGTTTGACAGAATTGATCTGAATTGCAGCTGGGGCACACTCTCTGCAGATCTCCCAGATCTTCCTTTTTCCAGGACAGGTTCACACCGTCGTTTTTGTTTGCCTCCAGAACAAGTTCAGGGCTATTCCAGTCTTTACCGACATCCCCTCATAATTGTGTATATATATATATACATATATATATATACATATATACACATATATACATATATATACATATATATATGTGTGTGTAGAATAAACCCCAAAAAAAACCAGGGTCCCAGAGGCAGGCCTTGAGACCGGCATTCGTGGTATACTTGTTGATAGCAGCGAGACGTGCAGGTGGAACATTGGCCACATAAAAGCCACCTTGTAACCTTAGCTGAAATTGAAGTTGCAAAAGAGATATTAAATTAACATGGAACATGTGTACTCATGAGATGTGCATCCCAACAGCAGCACCCCGATGGAGCGTGCACCCTCACCATCATATCCATTCTCCTCCACGACCTTCGGGGAGGGATTCAGCGTGAAGGACCTGGGATACAAACCAATCGAATTGTTATTCACACGATCGACTACCCCAAGCAAATCGAAGCCCAGCTTTATGATGAGGCAAGCCACACAATGTTCGAAAAATCTGTCGGCAGCAGCATACTATTGTCCAACAACCGCAATTGTCGGAGGTCCTTGAGAATCACATCTTTCTTCGCCTGGTCACAGTGACAAGTTTTGCAGGATTGTGTTCAACATGGGTTCTCATCTATCTACATAAGAACAGAAAATGTAACAGGCATGAGGTTCCTGCCTCAATCTGTTTTCTTGACTTTGGCATGGGGTTGTCGGTGTCATACTTTGGCTTGGACTTCCTCTTACACTTTGCTAGCCGAGGGGTCCATCCACTCGACTTGTAATAAGCAGGCACCACCCCAGCAGGTGATCCAGCCGGCACCGGCTCCTGTAGAAAACAAGTTATTAATAAGCTGTCCTAGCTACTGATCTTCTTAATTAAGCAAACTGCAGCAACTTATTAGTATGAGTTTATGGGAGTTTCTAATTACGGGTTTGGGGCTTGAGTCCTCGGGCTCATCCTGCCCAGCCGAGGCTGCCTCATCATCATTCTTTTTCGCTGGGGTTTTTGCCACAATCCTCTTTGACTTCCTGCCACCCTTCTTTTTCATCTTTCTTTTCTTCTTCTTCACAACCAAACCAGCAGGTGGCTCGGCATCTGCATCCATGGCATCCCACGTGTCCCGCGTGGAAGCCTGATCCTGGACGGAACTTAAATTCAGAGCTTT